CCACGAGCCCTGATGGCCGGCGGGCTGAGCTCTGGACCCTGCCTGGGGTAAGATCGGCTTCAGTGGGGGCTCCCGAGAGGAGGCGGTGGTGAGTGCTCAGGCTGAAGACGAGGCGGTGGCCGACCCGGTGTTGGAAATCCAGAAAGGCTGGAGATAGCAGCACGGGCCCCTGGATGCGGAATGAGACAGTAGGCAGGCGAGGGCGTGGGATGGAGCGACACAGCGGGCAGGGGAGTCAGCCCTCGTGGAGGCCCAGGGCACTGACTGCTATTTTGAGCCCTGCAAGGGGTCCTGGGCCAGGCGTGTGTAGACCAGGAGGGCCAAATGGTGAGAGATGGTGCTGGAAGGGCTGCCCTTAAGGGAGTGTGGGCTTACCTGGGGGAGAGGTGGCTGGTTCTGAGGGGATGGGCTCATGAGTGTAAAGTAGGGGATGGACTGGGTAGCAATTGGGGGAATGTGGAGGGCCTTATTGGTAGGGAGCAAGGAGCAAGGCAGAAGGCCCGCAGGGAAGGTGTCTGGCAGCAGAGAGAGTGGCAGCTGCAAGCCCTGAGTCAGTGCATGCAGGAGCTGCAACCATTTGGGGTTCAAAGTTTAACCTGCTTGTGAGGCATCTTGCAGATGTGTCCTTGTGGCAGTGTGGTGAGCCTGGGGTCCAGGGGAGTGCTGCACAGGAAAGGGTAGATTAGAACATCAGCTGCAAAGAGAAGCCTGGAAACGGACAAGGTTGTCAAGGGGAGATGGAGACTGGGGTGGGGCAGGACCCACTGGGGGGCGGTGCAAGTCAAGTCAAACTCTTCATTGTAAGTGGCCTCCTGCCTTCACCTCTTCTTGGCACGGACCTCCCCAAGCTCTGGTGCCCTTGTCCTTCCTGAAACAATGCCAGGAAGGACCTGAAGCTCTCTGGGCGTTTCTGACTCACTGTCTTGCATCGAAGCTTCCTTGTGTTTCTCTTTTTCCCTAACCCCCAGAGGGCAGGGCCAGAGGCTTACACATCCTCACTGTAGCCTCACAATACCTCAGCCGCTGAGCCAGGAGTCAAAGGATGATTGAACAAATGAATTAAAGAAAGGGGCCAGCTGATGGCGCAGGGATTACCCTGCGGTCCACATGGGAAGGTCTCAGATTGTTTGCCCCTACTGCGGGGAGACTGTCTTGTTCCGTTTATATTCTTCAACAAGATTGTACTAAGCCTCAAGATATTTCAGCAGACATTCTGGAAAAGGCTTTTGGAAAGAGTTAGGATTCTCCTGGAATGGTTCTGGGTCATCAGTTTTTCTGCCATCCCAGCTCAAAAGAGACTAAGTCCATTGAGAGCTGGTCTGAGAAACTAAGTCTTAGTTTCTTCTCTCTGGTCCCTTGGCACCTCTGCCCGTGTGAGTTGCCGAGTTACTGCCAGCGTCTTGGAGTGAGGGGTTGCTGGGAGCAGAGTTCCGAGCATCAAGTGAGGGCTGCCAGGATTATCTTAAGAAGTTGTGGGAGCCTTGCTACCTGTATTTCCAATCACCAAAATGTAGAAAGATTGGGTAACCTTCCTCCCACCAAGCGTGACTGGTGAGGGTAGAGGGACCAATTTTTAGGATGCCTGGTCTATCTGGGGAAAAGGGAAGTGATATTCTTCTCTCTCTCTCTCTCTCTCTCTCTCTCTCTCTCTCTCACTTTTGGTGGTGTAGGGCATAGGGCATATGTGCTTGCCTGAGGGAGACAGAGAGACGGGGAAGTAAGAAATCACTCCTCAGGGAATGGTCACATCACAATGCCTTCTCCATTCTCCCTTTGGGATTTTGGATACACATAACACACACCCCCGATATGTTTTTTGAGTCACTGGGTCCAAGACTCGAACTGTGGAGTCAGCTATGTGGGATTCAGTGCCTTAACTACCATGCCACCTGCTGGCCCCCTTATCTCTCTTTTTAAGTACTAATGTAATTAAAGAATTATCTCCTGGTCTTTCCTTAGAAAGTTTTCTTGATAGGTCCCTGGATGTCATTTATAATCACATAGCTGTGGGGAAATAGCGTATGATTCAAAGCAATTGTACCTTTAGCATTTTAAGACTATTGTTTTAGGAAGATATTTCTAAGTCTTAGTTTCCTCCGTTGTAAAATAGGAAAAGTAGTAAACATACGCTCCAATAGATGGTTGTGAGCACAAAAGGAGAAAGCCTATGTGAAGTGCTTCCTGGCCCCCAGTAAATACTCAATGACCATTAGAAGTTGCTATTTTCTGTTCATGCTGAGTAGGAAAATGAGTGCCTATCTGACTGTATTTTGAGTTTGTCCATCCTATTATAATAGAATGCATTTTTGGAAATGTTTAAAAATGTTTACCTCTTAAAGCATTTAATAAATATTTGTTGAATGAATGAGCTATGATTGGACACACCACTTCTGTCAAACATTTGAATTCAGTACTGCACAGTGGTCACAGCAAGGCCACCAGCCTTCTGGCTCTTCTACCACATTCCAGTGGTCTCATCGGAACTGAAAACTCTCCTGTTGGCATCTGCTGGCAGGCTTAAGAGTAACATCTCTCTGGATGGTAATTTGTTAGCGTTCACCCTGGGACTTGGGCTTGTAAGGAAGAAAGTTAGAGAAAAGAGAGGGACACACAAGCAGAGATGAGGTGAACACAGACAAGCTATGCCGCTTTGTTCTACCACATTCCAGTGGTCTCATCGGAACTGAAAACTCTCCTGTTGGCATCTGCTGGCAGGCTTAAGAGTAACATCTCTCTGGATGGTAATTTGTTAGCGTTCACCCTGGGACTTGGGCTTGTAAGGAAGAAAGTTAGAGAAAAGAGAGGGACACACAAGCAGAGATGAGGTGAACACAGACAAGTTAAGCCGCTTTGGTCATGCTGAACTTCTTTATTTATACATTTTATCAGGCACAGTGAACTGTTTTGCAAGCTTTCGAAGATGCAGTTGAAGTTCTACAGTTAGAGATAAGCAGTTTAGTGTATACGTTTTTCGACCTTATTACTATCATGTGTGATCCTGTTATGTGTCATAGGTCAAGTCAGATTACTTATGCTGTTCCTCTGCAACCCCAAGGAAGGCTGTCTGAGTATGCATCAAACAGGATAATGTGTAAGCCATAAACATACAGAACAAGCATTGTGTGACCTAGCCAGGCTCAGGCTGTTTCCCATGTCCCATAGATGTTTCCACAGAGCCCCTAGCATCTAAGGTATATGTCAGACAACTCGAGTAAGCAATTAACAAGGCATGCAGATAACTGCTTACTTCCAGGCTACATACCCTCACAGTCTGCATCTTGGCTTGGGGGCTCTCTGTGCTCCTCTGCAACAGAGTTCCCGAGTCTGGACACCAGTTCCACTTTCTTGGAGTAAGAGATGGCTGGGTTCTCCAATGCAGCTTGACACCCTGGAGACCTTTGAACACCCCCAAACAAAGACTTACTGCCTCATCACAGACCGCATTGCCTTCAACGTAGTGTGACTGCAGTGAAATGTGCTCCTGTTTTGATAAGCTTGTGTGTAGAGTATCACTTCCAGCCTGCGTAACCTTTCAAGGCTCAATTTTCTCCTTTGTTAAGTGGCAGGCTTGGAAGAGAAAGCTCAAAAGTTCCTTGCATCTCAGCCCAGGGAAGTGGGAAGACCCACACCTGGGAACTGACTCCAGCTTTTACCAGCCAATGACTCCAAGGCTCAGGTTCCTGCCCTGGAAAATGGGAGTACCCATCCAAGACATTCTGAGGATCTTCACCTCCTGCCTTCACCCCTTCTTTGTAAGAGGGGCTGTGGAAGCAGTGAGAGGGATTCTGGGGTTAATTGCGCACCAGGTGTGTGACAGAGGAACACAGTGGTATAGCAGAGCCGGGTAACTCCCAACTAGAATTGGACCTAAAGGCCACACAGAAGCCATCACTTACTTCACTTTTTTGTTTTGTCACCAGGAGATTCTGATTTGTACCCTGATGTGGCCCAGCATTGCCGGAGAGATCTCCTGGGATGTGTCTTTTGTTACTTTGAACTTCTTGGTGCCAGGACTGGTTATTGTGGTCAGTTACTCCAAAATTTTACAGGTATGTGGGCTTCGAGTGCTGCAGCTGTACTTCACTCAGGCCTGGGGTTTTCCAGAGAATCTTAAGAATTTCTGGATCAGAAGATACCTAGAGTTCCCCTCATCCAAGCCTGCGCAGATCCACTCCCTTGCAACACCAAGGAATGAGTTTACTTGTTTGCTTAAATAAGTTATACCTTCATGATTGTTGTTGTTTGCTCATCACTAAAATAATACAAGCTTGTTTTTAGCAAAATAAAGACATAGAAATGTAGAACACAGAAGACCAATCCTGTGGCTTGGTAGTTAAGGGAGCTGGATCCCACATGGCAGACTGTAGTTCAAATTCCAGCCCTGGCAGCTTAAATGACACCGTGGGTGCATGTGCATGTGTGCTCCAAATTCTGACAGGATAGAGACACGGAGGAGAAGGGATTGTGCACACATTCTCTGGCAATTAAAGAAGAAAAGGAAATGTGAAACATGAAAGTTGAAAACCTGCTCTGCCCCATTCTTTCCTGTTCTTTTAAAAAAATTTTAATTAAAT